CAGTCCAAATGGCGCAGTTTATTGTCATTGGACAAAGTCCAGTTAATTGATTGGAATAAGTCCAGTCTAGTCCAGTCCATTCCAGTCCAATGGACCTTATTGGTCTACTTTTAAATAGGTCTACACATTGGTTAGGCTTATTTAAACATGTATTACTTATAAGATAAAGATTCTTTGCAATAGAAATAAGTTTTAATTATGTTAATCGAGCCAAGATTTCTGATATACATGGGAAAATTTTAAGATAACTTGGAATCTTAATTTATAACCTGATAATTCAAAATATTAAGTAGCACTATATTTATAATAAACTTAATATTTTTTATTATTGTTATTGTCTGATAATTTCTCCTGTAATTTCTGATTTTTTACAAGTATCTTTTTACGATTAAAAAACAAATAAAATAACAAAATAAAATAAAATAAAAATAAAATAATACTAAATTCTTTTTATAGTTTAGATCAATAAATCATCAAACAATAACAAAAATAAAAATTTACAATTCATTAATATATGAAGGCGGATCTAATTTGTTAACAAATAGCTCACCAAGAATCCATTTTGCACGTTTATCTCTTTGAGGGTGTTCACGATCTAAAAGAATATCAGATGATAATTTAGCATTAAGTAATGAGTCAGTTATCTCTTCATTCCAATCATACAATTTTTCATCCTCAAGCATAGATTCCCATAAACTTAACACTTTTTCTAAATTATTTTTAGTTGGATCCGCAAAATCTTGAAGTTCATTTTCACTATCAGTTTCTTGTTCTTGTTCAATAATATTTGTCAGTTTTTCTGGTTCTTGAGTTGTATCTTCATCAGTTTCATATAATGTAGTAGTTGCATTTGAATAATATAATTGTTTGATTTGTTCAAGTTCATAGTTTCGATGTGCTTGATTTATTACACCTTTTATTTGAGCCATTGCTAATACCTTCGTATGCTAATAATAAATTAGACTAAATTTTAATTTTTATTCAATGCTTTACTATGGTCAGTCTATAAAATAAATCAATTATTTTATAGTATTTTTACATAATAAAATTATTGATCGTATTTCATAAACTGAGATAGTATATCATTGAATAAAACCGTTATTGCATGTTCCTGTATGCATCAACTGCTGTATTTTATGTTCTCTTCTGATCGTTCGATAACCCAGCCGTACCAGCTGAAGTTACCAACCAATCATCATCACCCATAAAATACAGCAGTTATTGCATACTTCGTATGCAATAACTATATATTATTTATTTACATATAGATTTTTTAAAAATTATTTCTTACTTTTAATCGGTTTCTTGAAGCAGAATGTAAATAACCCATTGAAGACCATAACCTTTCAACCGATGCAGCATTTATACAAATACTCATTATTCGACTTGCTACAAACCCTAATTCTTTTATACTTTCTGAGCACCAATTCCAATAGCCAAATACATCTTGTTCAAACTGCTCAAATGATTCATCATTAAATGGAAATTTTTTAGTTCGATAGTTATCAAATTCTCGTAAAATATTTTTTGGTGCAACTCCAGTCCAAGTAATATAATAGTATTGCAAATATTCACTTAGATCAACCCAATTTAAATATGGTAAATGATCATTAAACTTGTCAAAACGATATTTAGGGTGAAGAACCCAAGATAAAATAATTATTGGTTGTTCCCATTGTTGCCATCGCTTTTCTAAACGATTACATAATCGTGTACTAAATTGCAAATCTGAATGTTCAGATAAGAATTGATAAAAATAACCAAAAGAATGAAGTACATCATAAAGACGTGCTTTATCTCTTTGTAAAATATTTAAACAACCACAATATGGTAAAAGAAGTCGCTTAATAGCTACTATATTTCGCCAAAATTCAAAATTATTAATTGGATCGCAAATATAATCAGGTAATACCAAGTTATTTTCAATTTCAATTTCTTCATTAGTTTGAGGTTCATATCGTGCTATAAGTGTCTTAAATAACAATAAAATAAATACTTATGATTATAATAAAAAATATGTAATAAATAAAAATTATAAATAAAACTTACCTTTAAAGCTTCTTTAGTTCGCAAAAAACTACCAAAACAGTAATAGTAACTATTCCAACGTGTATCACCGGGAACAATTAAAGCCTGTAGTTTATTATATGTTTGCATTTGAATATCACGAAGTTTTCCAGCAAAATAAGCATGTTGTTTGTTTTTAAAATATACTGCAATACGTGTAGCTTCTAATGCGGTAATTTTAAATATATTTGATTCTTTAAAAATCTCACCAATACATAAATTGGTTTGATGTGCGAAACATGGTAAATATGTAATTTGTGGGTTTTCAACTTGAAGCTGTTTTCTTGCTGCAGCATATGATGAATGACTATCAGTTACAATTGCTGCTACTTTTATTCCTTCATTTGTTACACTTTTTGTAATTTCATTAATTTTATTTTTTACTTCCTCTATACGTGCTCTTTCACCACTAATATCAATCGCTTGCCATACCAAAACTTCACCAGAACTTGTAAGTAAAACACTTCCTATAATTGATTGATTAATTATATTTGTCCAACCATCCATAGTAAGAGTAACACCATAAAAATCTTTTTGGGCCTTTTCATTAATATTCGCAACCATTTGATTTGAAACATAGGTCAAAATTTTACCACCTAATTTACGTCGTCCAGGAAGCTTACATGAAGGATTAATAAATTCAAATAATGCAATAGTATCTGGATTTTGAACCCAACGAAAACTCCATCCATTTGAAATTGTTGCTTTTAATAACAAGTAATTAAATTTGTCAAGATTACATCCAGTAAATTGACGATGAGCAAAATTATCTAATGGTCCTTGCGTATTAACAGATACTGAACTTGATGTGTAATTTGATGATCTATTATTATCATCTTTTTGTATACGGAATCTTTTTCCTTGACGCTTTTGCATAGTTGCTTCACTGTCTGTATCATATATGATAGCTTGTGCTTCGTTTACTCCATATTTTTGTTGAAAAAATTCACATTTTTTAAAATGATCTTTACAACATTTTTTAGTATTAGTGAATTGCTTTTCAAGAGCATAAGGACGACCTTTTATTTCAAGACAGGCTAAACATATTGCATATTTGTTAAAATCATTTGCCTTTAGATCAAGTACTTCAATATAAGAAGTTAATCGATGACGACGTGACATTTTTTTAATACATGGATTAAAAATTATGAAGATTATAACTGTTTAATTGTTGGTACGTATTGCTTAAATATCAATTATATTTATTTTAATTATAATTATGCTTTATAATCATAAAGATTTTTTACGATTTTCATATGTAAAATTTTTTTTAGTACTCTAATTCTAAAACTAGATTTAAAGTTTAATGCATTTATTGTTATTGATATCTATACTTGATTATCCTGTTAATTGCAAGTAATTCAGATTATTCTCAAGCATATCTCTTAATGTAATCGATCTAATTAGCTAGTGATTAAAATAATTGATTAAAAGTAGTAATTGATACTTGAGCTATCCTTTTTTATCTTTTAATCAATTACCAATTCAAAAAAGGTAATTATTTAATTTGCTTAAAACTTTTGAAAAGCATTGCATGCATATTATGGTTGGCCTAATATACCAAAGATAAGATTTATTTAGTGAATGCAGATATGATTTAAAACTAAAATGAATATATCAAATAAAATAGTAACAGATTGTACCAGAATCACCGTAAGCAGTTTAGATTATATTGTATAGCATTGACCAGTGGTTTCTCGTATGCATCATGCAGGCCAGCCGTTAATGTAAAGCAAAATACAGTAATTATTATGAAATATCAGGTTTTTTTTTTAATTGAAGGGATTGGGTTGCGACTTTGCTTGTTCTTTACTGGGGAATTAATTATTCTTAATTGTAGGCTTAGATTTAACCATCTTGTACTAATCCTGTCTAACGTTAGTGTTTGCTGTATGTAGCAGTTAATTTATAGCGTCTTATGAAGATTAGTTGATTATCACATGTAGCCCCAAGTCGCAATATTACCCTTGGCCAGATCATGTGAATGTGGCTTCTGCTTAGCTACCTTTTCGATCTGTTAATTATCCATTGTCATAGGGGTTTTCAACTCAAACGTCGAGCATGCTATATTTCGTTGACCATCAAAAGATCAAGCAAGCAAATATCTCAACTCAAAAATAGGATATTTGGTAAGAAAAATACTTATTATTTCTTTATTTACGCCTTTTACTTATATACTCACTTTGACTATTTTTAATTACATCATATTTCGATTATGCACATTTAACTTTTTAATTAATCTTTAATTATGCTATTTTCTATAAACCTTATAACATTTTTATGCATCGCACTGATTTAACTAATTTATGTACACTGATCTAGTATTACTTCATTCCTATATGTCCCGATCTTATGATCCGACCTATAACGATGGTGATGTAATTTATTTCAGCATCCAAAAATGCTGAAATATGTTAATATACATATTATTATTATTAATATATTTTTTTTATCTATTCGTTTATTTAGTTACTGACTACACTAGTGATGCCTGACGAAATGATGAAACTTGACGAAACTTATGTTTTTGTTGAGTTTCGTCAGGTTTCGTCATTTCGTCAGGCATCTCTAGACTACACAGTACATATGTAGCTCGAAAGTACTCACAGCTTTGACATCTGAAATTTTGAATAATAAAATTTGCTTCTAGCTCAAATAAATTATCGTAACAATTGCTATATTTGGCTACAACAAAATAGTATATTCGATAGCACAACTTTTATATTATAACATTGAGATATGCTGTAAGAAACGGTTAATATTATAATAAAATAAATATATAATATATAAAAAAAACAA